GGTCCCCCCGGGAGCTCTTTCTCATGTCTCAGGTACACATTTCTAAGGACGGCACACGGTTATGGGTGGAGCGCTACCCCCCTAATGTGTGGATAAGGCAAAACAGCTCAGTAAGGCAAGCCCTGCCCTTAGCAGGCTGCAGCAGAACTGGAAGTACACTTAGGACTCCTGACTCTTAGTCTAGGGTTCCCTCTGCTAAGCCATGCTGGCTCACACAGACATCGTCTCAGCATCCCAACAGCTACTATTAGCTGCCCATGAGGAGAAACAACCACAGAACGTAGAAGGCCGACCATTTATACTCAGTCCTAAGTCCGCCACCTGCTACCTGTGGGGCACTGGTCAAGTTACACATTTCCGTTTCCTCATCTGCAAGGTGGGGACAGTAATACTGTTTACCTTATGGGCTATGAGGATTATTATGATAAAACATACTAAGATTTTTAACAAGTCCATCACAGTGTTAGTACAAAAGAAGTGTCATCACTGTATAACTTACGTTAGATAACAGGGTTCCTCATTTCATACAACTGACACCTTTTCAAAAGTCCTAGGTATATTATACTGAGTCAAATAATACATATGTTAAATACAACATTGTAACATGCTATGTTTTCAAATCTTGGGGAGATTCTTTTTCTATGGAAATGATTTGCTATGAGCCTCTTATAAAATGAAGCTGTCTGGTCTTTAAGCGTGAAGTTTCTTAAGAGAAATAATTTATGATTCTGAGTAATTGCTTTTGTATTATTTCCAAGCATTAGTATGCAAAATCATCACTTGAGACACTTCTTAAAATGTAGATTCTTAGGCAGAATCTCATAGAGCTTATTAGTCTGGAATGGACCTGGAAATTCACATTTCAGTCCTCTCCCCAATGGCCTACAAAACAGCAGTTCACAAAACTAGTCTGACATACTGTTCTCCACACAGGGACATGGCAGATAATGACAATCAGCTAATATTTACAAATATTTAGTGTATGGGGGATAGTTATCTCTCTTTCCTTGCCCACAGTGACTGCTTTTAATATGGCTTATGAACTCAATATGACTTTAAATGGACTCTTTACAGGTTGGAGCAGTATTTTAATACATACACAACGCACACATCCACCAATCTTGCATTTCAAAAGATATGTACAGCGAAGCTAAAGTGACTGAACCAGCAATAATGGCAGCTCATCTGGCAAAAAGAGCAGCCATGGTTGACAGAGCTGTCATCCTGGCAGGCTGCTGGCCGGGCTCCGAGCTCCCACACACATCTATCCTGTCTGATGTGTAAGCTAATAGCATTCTGGATCTACATCCTGCCCCTTCCCCAGCCAGCTCCCTCCCTCCCTCCCTCCCTCCAGCAGCATCTTTGAACAAGAAACTGTAACTGAATCTGCCCGTGTGCGGCTGAACAAGAGTGCTCTGCAATCCTGCTGTGTTTGAAAACTTGCATGGCTATTACATTGCTAGTGTCAGGACCGAGTTGAGGTCCTCAAGTGACTCCTGTAAAGTGTTCAGGCATCATTAGCACATGGGAGATTATAGGTGAGCATATACTGTGGTGTAGCACGAGCACTTATTTATGGAATGTCTTTCTGTCGACCTGCTTTCCCTGTTCAAGAGAGATATAGTAAATACACCTCCACTTCATCACTGACAGAAGTCAATTGCAGTGGAGAAAAACAACCAGACACAGGTTCTCAGTTACAGTGACCTTTACGGAAAGATCCCTTTAAATATTAGCTTCCCTTCACACACTTTGCCACTTGGCAGTAAGCAGTATCCTGCAGCAGGTGAACGCAGGATCCCAGCTAACACGCTACACACCACAAGCAGGCACTGCCTTCAACTTAGTTAGCAGGCAACAAATGCAAGGCAGCAGGAACAGGTGGAAGGAACGAGTGGGAAGAAAAAGCAGCGGAAAGGGTATACACCCGAAGGAGCACAGCACTGGGGTCAAGGCACTGAGCTTAGGGCTAGCCTCAGGCCCTGGGGCTGCAAGCTCCACGCAGCACTCTTCCCAGGTGAGGGGCAGCATGGCAGCACCTCCTTCATACCCAGCACACTTGTTCAACTAAAAATAATCCACTTACAATGACAAAAGCAGTCTTTAGGTCAGTGCACACCATCAGCTTCAATGAACTCTATTTAAAAAAACTTGAAAACCTGGATAGGTGACTGTCCGAGGACTATATTAATTGTGAATTGTTTTATAAGATAATTACAAAACAGGTAAGTTTTTTTAAAGTTAGTTTGTTAGGAAGCTGGACTAACAAGTAGGCAACGCAATGAGGTGGTGTCAGAGGTTCTCACATGGAGATCAAAGGAGGGAAATCATGTCACCATCAAAAGACATAAAAGAATTTAAAAAAAATATTTTAAGGGGCCAGTGAGCTAGGTAGAAGCAGTCACCATATAAGCCTGGCGACCTGAGTCCAAATACTAGACTCCAGCATGGAAGAGGAAAATCTACTCCCAAAAGCTGTCCTCTGACTTCCACACATGAGCCAAGACATGAGTGCTCACAGTCACACATGATGACCATGATGATGATGATGAAATAATTGATGAAATAATTTTTAAAATCAGTTTAAAGTGGCTAAAGGAACAAACAGGATTCGGTATATAGACATGCTTGCCTCTGGTCTCTGCAGGCTGCTTTCTCTGTATGGGATATTTATTCGCAAGGTAACTGCAGGTTCCACTCCTCCACTTTAGTAAGGAAATTACTCTGACAACCATATCTAAAATAGCACCTGGGATCTGGAGAGATGGCTCAGCACTTGCTGCTCTTCCAGAGGACATGGGGTTGGTTCCGCGCACCCACAAGGCAGCTGCCTATCATATATAACTATAGATTCAGAGGATCTGAAGCCCTCTTCTGGTCTCTGTGGGTAATGCACACACATGGTGCCACAGACAGACAGACAGACACACGCATATAATAAAGACATTATGCATATAATAAAGAAAGGAATATCTTACAAAAGTAACACTTGGCCCCACCCTGATTCCTTGCATTGTCTGCCATGAAGATGACTATGTCTCCACATTCTAGAACAGTCTCACACAGAGGAGGTTCTCATTAACTGTGAGTGAATGGAGGAGAGCAATGGGCTCTTCCGTAAACTCTTACAGGCATATTCTCAAAAGCCTACTTTAGATTTTAGGGGAATGAACATGATATTAAACACTATGAAGCTGCTGGTTGGATTTCTTCATATACAAGAAGGGAAAAGCCACAGTTTACTAGACTCTTTGCTGCTAAAGGTCAAAGGGAGAAGAGTATGGTTCCTCCCAATGAGATAATGTACTATTATTTTGGAAGTAATCATGGCAATTTGATGAGAAAAAGAAATAAAGGTGTAAAAATTAGAAAGGAAGAGTTCAACACCATTTACATATAATTTTATACCCTAGAGACCTAGAAATTTATATAAAAATTATTTAAAATAATAAAAATACAATAAGCAGCTGGATACTTTTTTATCTTTTTTTTATCTTTTGACAGAAAATAAAACAATATGGTTTTTATAAGGGATATCAGAAGTAGGATAAATGGAAATGATATCAAGAGTAATAAAGTCCTACAATTTATAAACAAGATTTGTTAACAAAATAAGAGGCATTGTTCATTCACATTTCATCTGTCGAATGATTACACAGCTAGACAGAAAACTAAATAGAAAGGGGTTTCTAGAAGGCTAGATGATGGAAATGCAGTTTAAATAAAGCTCATTAACTCTAAAAGGGATACTTGAAAAGAAATCTTACTCAGAAAGGTAGTCAGGTTTAACAGTTGGCCAGTGGTGGCCACTACAGAGAATATTCAACTATATTACAGTCATGTAAGGTAGTAGCATCTGCCTAAGTCTAAAACTAGTTCTAGTAAAAATTTCAAAAGTCAATAATTGATCATTAAACATAGTACTTCCCATGGTGTAAATGTGGGTGGTGTGGCTGCCTTAAAATCTGTTACATACTCACTCCTGTAAAGCTGTTTGAGGGACTTTCTAAAAGGCTGGATTCACTGTACAAGGAGGGATATATATATGGCTCCCTACTTGAGAACTGGCCTGAGTCAGGAGCAGGAGGATTGCTGCAAATTCAAAGCCAGCCTTCTTACACAGTGAGATGCCAGCCAGCCTGGACTTCAGAGTGAGACTATGAAAAAGCAAAAAGAAAACAAAACAAAACACCCCACCCCAAGTTCTTCCTTCGCTTGCTTTTGACTCCCCTGCCCTGAGACAATACAATCACTTTCAAAATGTTGGGAAAGAGGAGCACATATGGCTCACTCTTGGCGTTAACTCCAATAACAAGCTTTTGCAGTTTTTAAAATTCACTGTTTTAGTCTTACGATATAAGTAAATGTCTAGGCTCAAGATTCTGAATTCCCGATTCCATTGTTGTTGTTTGAACAAGAGCAGGGCCTCTTATAGCTCAGGCTAGCCTTGAACTTACTCCATATCTTCAGATATAGCTCAGGCTGGCCTCCACCTCACCTCTTAGCTGCTGGGATTACAGGCAGTGCTATCACACCTACAATTCTTGGAAGGAGACCTACAGATCTTGGCCCATTCTTTGTGCTCAAATAGAAAAGAAGTTAAAACCTCCAAATACTATTGTTATATTCTTCTTAACTCATTGGGAATAATACTTTCTCTATTTTTTAATTTACTTTTTTTGGCTTAAATTTACAGCTTTGTACACACTAAACACATACTCTACCACTGAGCTACACTTCTAGTCCCATTTCTCTATTTTATTTTTATTTTTAAAATGTATTATTACTATCATGTGGGAGAGGTGTGCATGCGTGCATACACGCACATGCCATGGTGTGTATGTTGAGTTCAGAAGAAAACTCTGTAGACTTAGTTCTCTTTGTATGTTTCCGTGGGTTCAGAGATTGAACTAAGGTCACCAGGCCTGTAGACAAGTGCCTTCACGATTAAGCCATCTCATGAGACCCCATTTTTCTGTTTTAAACAGCTTTTTCCTTACTTGGAATATGCTGGCGAAACCCAATATGGGTTATCTTCTGCTGCTTTGGCATGACGCAAAATAGCTTCCCGGGGATTGCTGTCGTCAGTCTTGTCCAAAGCAATGTTCTTCACAATGTAGGAGGACAGGGTGCCCCCATGGGTTCCAACTCGGCCACCACGACCTATTTCAGAAGAAAGAAGCCCTGATTAGAGAGAGCATGAAGAGACCCGGATATGCTGCATCCTAAGCTCAGATCTCAACAGTGTTGTATCACCCATGTACCTTTCACTGTCAGAACTAAGAATCATCCGCCTTTAACATTTAAAAACAGGAAGAAACATTAAAAAATGTTCTAGTTGCTTAATTTACAAAATGACATTGATTTAAAAAAAAAAAAACATTTTCTTAAAGACTGTACTAAAAATTGCCCTACCATGAACTTGCTGATATTTAATACAAAAAGTAATTTCTATTCATTAGCTGCTATTTTAGCTGTAAACACATGTATTTTAGGGCTTTACATACTCCACGTAGATATATTATAGGCACTTTGCTCTATATCTTGAGGGGAAAGAAGTCACATGAACACACGGGCTCTCTTTACCTTTCTGCTATGATTGCCTTGGCATCCAGCAAGCTGAGGGGCAAAGAACTGCATCCTGCTGGGTCTCTCCTAACAAAAATGGGCTGACATTTTAGAAAATTCTTTTCAGAACTGATTTTTAGGAAGATAAACACATGACTAACCAAATAACACTAGAAGATAAATTTCATTAATTAAGAAGAAATTGTTTTAGAAGACCAATTGCTACAGGCTTTCTGTGGCAATAACTATTACAGCTTTTAGGGGGAGGAGCTGGCCCTGCAGCTTCTCCTACTTACATGGTCTTCCTTCTACCTGCCAGTGAAATGGGCAGCTCCACCTTCTAACACCAAGCTAAGCCATGGTCACTCTCTGCCTTGTGTGAAACCTAATCCAGTTTGGACAGCAGGCTAGGAGACCAATAGTAAGCCAATATTGAGAGCAGCAGTTTTAGCACTGGCTTCCAAGGAGTCCCAGAGTTCAAGTGAGGTCACCCAAGGCTCAAGCCAGAAAGGAAAAGGCCCTAGGTGTCCTCACTGTTTCAGCACTGCACCTCTGTAAGCTCTACACATTGTGATTCTGGTGCTGGCCAAGAAAGCATCTGAAAGCCACTGGTGTCTCTGAAGATCAAGAACAACTCAGGCCCTAAAGCTCTGTCCACCTCCATATCTATGGCACTACCCTGCCCCCTCCTCCCCCTGCCAGACAACTGGCTGTCTCAGTCACCTGGGCCTGCGACAGGAGGCTCTGGTTTGTGTGACTTCAGGGGGTCCAGTCTGTCCTTCTCCAGCTGCTTCCTCGTACTTCGTTGGCGGGGCTCACGGAACATGGGCAAGGCGTGAGCTGTAAGAAGTCACGTTGAAAAATTTCATTATAATAATAACCCTTCATCCAAAAACATAGCTAATGCATGACTAACTGAAACATGAAATGGAAATCATAATGATAGCCTTCATTTAATAATAAAAGACAGGCGTACTGTAACCAATTAGCCAATTTTGTTTGATACCAGACTCATTGTTCACCTCTGCTGGCAGGGAATGGCACTCAGGAAACACTGTCAAACACTGTCATGGAAACACTGGGGAGTCTCATCTCCCTAACTGTGGGTTAAAGCTCAATTTCTGTGGTTTGAAAAGAAATGCTTCATAGAATCACTTTCTTATTTTTTCTTATGGAACCCAGATATGAGTAACGCCAACAATATGCCTGTCAGCTCTCAAGTTTCTTTAGAAGCCTCATAAACGCTGGAATCACCTCACACACTTCTGAAATGTGACCCCCTCTCAGCAGAGGGGTGCACACACAGAGTAACCACAAGGGCGTGGCATGTAGCCCTCCTTCACATGGCTGGTACACAAAACAAGAGGGTAACACAGGCACGTGTATTCGACTACTGTCAGGTGTCCACATAAAAAGAATACTGACTTAAGGGGAAACGTAACATTTTGGAGGACAGGGTTATTGTAGAGTTTAAATGGCTATCTTCTTAGTGACCTAGAATTTCTTCCATTAATACATTAAATACATATTAAAATATGTTTTCAAAGAGAAAACATTTTCAGAGGACTGGAGAAGACAAAGGCTATAATCTAAATGAAACACCTGTAACACCTCAAAAACCCTTCCAGTTCCCCATCAGACCCTCTGCTCCTACTTCTAGTTAAGGCCAGTCTGTACCACTCACCATAAACAGTGCTAGCCTTGAGTCAGGGAAGCTAAGCACGTTACTCCTCATCACTCTTGTGAGGCAACACAGCACACAGGATTTTTAGGTGGGGAAATTTGCTTTTTTACTTCCCATGACTGGGGGATTTAAGAAGGCCGCATGTAATCACAGGAGCTAGACTGGCTATGACCCCAGCTTAACACTTCTACTCTTACAAAGAGTGTCTTGGGATCTCTTGACTGATTACTAGCCCCATGGAACTTGGTCTCACAAGAGACCCGTCACCAGGAAGAAGGTCGGCAGTAGAGCACCATGGGCCACTCTATTACTCATCTCTGTGGCATCCAAGATCTCCTTCCTGGGCTCTTACAGGTCTGAGGCTATGGCTTTCAGAACACAGACCTGTCAGATTAATAGAGTTGTATGACCCACCTGAGAGAAAACATTCTGCCCTGGACAGAATTCATTTTATACAGAAATTCTTCCAGGTGTGTTAGTACAGGGTCACGGGTCCGTTGTCTAATCTCACTGATGAATTCACTGTTCAGCATCACACTGCCACCCTTCTGAATCTCGTTTATTCACAGATTAATGTTAGTCTTTAAAACACTATAATAGAATAATGCATTCAGCTCAGGCCAGTGCTTCCCATCTGGATGAGGAGTTACATGAGGCAAGCCTCATCTTTGCAAAAAATCAAGAAGCTAAAGTGATGCTGTCATGGGATTCGTATCTGTGTCCACATGACAGAAGATGATGTAATAGATGCCACAACTCTAGACCCTTTCTGATTTCAAACTAAGTCATGAACAAGACCACAGAGAAGAGTAACGGAAGACAGAGGAAAGCTAACAACAACTCACGGGTGATGATGTAGTCCTGGGTTAGGGTCTCAGCTTGTTTCGCCTTCCTCTGGGTTTTAACCACACATAATTTTGCTCCCCTATGATGAGTTAAAACAAATTATTTTCTTTAGTGTATTTTAGGAATAGGTAGAGGTGAAACACTAAACTTCTGGTTCCATCAGAGACTGTCACAAAGCAATCACACACATACACAAACACACAAACACAAACACACACACACACACCCTACCTCTACCTCTGTATGCAGTGATACAGGTAACACTGAAACACTGGAAGACCTTGGCCAATTCATTTTTAAAATTAATTTTAACCCATGGTTTCACTGTAGCATTTTCATTAATTGGGAGACTTTTTTTAAAAAAATAATCTGTGCAGACCATCCTGTCAAGAGATGGGATCTTGGTGACAATGAACTTCCAGAAATTCACATCTATCAGTCAGTGTCTCCCACTAAGTGAAAGATCGAGAGAGGTACCAAGACATTCAGGACAGTAATTTAAAGAGAAATCCACAAAAGTAATTTAAGAACATAAGACGCTAAAGAAATTTTGTACGTTAAGTAAGGTCATAGGATTCCATTTTTAGCCTATGTTCCAGATGAAAGCAACCAAGGTCCTACAGCCAGCAGGACCCAGCATGGTGTATGTCCATATCTCAAATACAGTTTTAAGTGTCTACGCTAGAATTTGTCTAGCTGCAGTGCTCAGGGAATACAACCTGATTAACTGATGGTCCATTTAAGAGCTTACCTCACCTTAGTGATACTGAGCTGTCTCTCTGAAGAAAATATACATAAGCAAATCTTATAGATCCCAAGTAAAGACAGCACTTTCCAAATGAGTGTCATAACATAAGGCTGGCAGTTTTCTGAGTGGTCTCCATCCACACTAATTACATTTTTACTTTATTAACAAACAAAATCTTACTTCTTCTTAAATATCATTTTATAACTATTTTATAGGGCAAAGGTTTCAACACTAGTTCAGAAACCTCTGAAGACTGGATTGTCCACTTCTAATTAGAACAGAATTATGGTGAGTGAAGGGTCATTCATAAAGATAAGCTTTACTTTCCATAGACTGCATGTAAGACCTCAAAACAGCATGACAGAAGGGCACAAGTTCAGCATGTGACTTCGTACACTAACGGGAAGGACCATCCTCCTTAGGGTGGTAACATTTGTCCATCTTGTGGAAAAGAAAGTGTTAATACCTGAGGAGCTAGGTGAGCCTCTCCCAGTTTCCAGACCTTGGGACTAAACTGGTATGCTTATTCTGACCTGGGGTAAGCTTAGGGCCCAGGGAAAGTACATGTGCTATCCTATCCCTTTCAGTTGACACAGCATAACCTCATCAAATACACAAACTAGTAACTGCTGAAAGCTCCCCCAAAAAAGGTAAAAGAGAAAAGCTGCTGCTGTTTCTTGTGAGTGGCCAGTCCTGTCTGTTAATCCCTCACATGTATCTCTGCTAATGCCACTGTCCGGGGAGTACACGAAGCAAGCAGGACTCCCCCCATCCTGCACTCAACATTTCAGCCAAAGGACTGCAAATCCCCAGGCAACTTTCCCTTTGAATTCGATGCAGATCAAGGGTGAGATCTAAATCCCATTTAAAGCACAATGCTAGGAGTCTGAGGCTTTACTTTGTACCAGCTGCCTTTTCTAAAAGGGTGGATCCCCATCAAAGGGGCATGCATAAAAGCCTGGGTGAACCCAAGCCCTCCCCAGTTGTCGTCCATCTCAAAGGCTTTTCCCATGAAATACCTCTGACTCTTGTTGGGGTCGTAGTACACTTTTGCCAATCCATTTCCAGTTCCAACCATGATCTGGTTCAGCTTTGGATGCCACAAGCAGCGGACCACACTCTAAAAAAAACGACAGCCATAGAAGTCAAGTCAGGTGACCAAATAAAAAACAAGGGGAAGGGAAGAATCCTGCGGGTGCTTTGACGGTCAGTTTACTAAGTCAAGTACTGGCCTGAGGGAAACCCATAACTTTTCAGATATCTTCTACGTCATAGCATTGCGTTCTGTAAATGAAGCCCATATCACCTCTTATCATCCATGTGAATTCCTTCAAAAACACAAGACATTCACTTCTGTACATAACCCCCTTTTCCTGATAGCCTTGGAACCACAGTTAGGCAGTCCAGTTCCAATGTGAGGCTGGCACTATGGAATGCTGGCTCCCTGTGAAGCTCACCACCACAGCGAACTTAGATCTGGTTTTCATGCTTTTACATACACAATATGTCCTGCTGGACTCAGATTGCGGCCAGGTGGTTATTGTTTTTAGTTCACAGAGATCCAAGTCTCATTAAGATTCTTTACAAAGAGCACATATTGGTAGACAATTAATAATCTCTCCCTGCCTATGAGACAAAACAGCAAAGCCATGACAGAAATAAAGCAGATATCAATTGCAAAGCCCTGATATTAACCTGATGGGAAACTATTTAAAGAAGTGCCTCCCTGGAAGCTATGGCCCTCTGAATCATGTCTGGTGAGGAATAACTGGTACTCTGGGGTCCCAGAGAACCTGAGTTCTGAATTCTCACAAGCTGTTTTCAATTTTCTTGGGGTAGGAGGGAAGATTGGAGGGACAGCATAAAGAGAATTAGGGGAGGAGAGAAACAGGAAGGTGACACTGAGAAGTACAAATACCACACACCAAGTACTACAAATCTCATTTGGACCAAGATGAGGGGAAGCATGAATTCATCGTTGACTGACAGCCTGTTTCCTGTACACATGCATATGGACGAAAGGGAAAGAGGTACAGCCAGACACTGACATTTGAGGTCCTCGTGGTAAGATCAAAGCACTTCAGCCCTGGGTCCTGAGGCTGGGCTTTAGTCCTTGTCTCTAACATCCTGCTCTTTCATTAAGAAGAAATACCTGCAAACGCTGACATCCCTCTGGGAGAAATTCTACTCTCACCTGACTGATGATAGTTAAATGGCTGCAAACCCTTTTCTGATATTCCAGAACTATGGAGGAAGCTAAAAAGGGCCTGCAAGCTGCTAATTTGCATCTAACAGTACTCCAAGATGGTTCGTAAGCTGTGCGCCACTGAAGTGGACTGAGCCATTCCAGAGTCAGTGTTGGCATTTCCCCCATTGAGGTGGAGGTTGGGGTGGGGCAAGCTGAAAGGGCAGGCTTTCACTTTTCCTTAGCTTGCCTCAGATCTGTGGTGCTGGTCTCCAGTGTTGGCTAGTAAGTGTTAAAAGCAAACCAAAAAAAAAAAAAAAAAGTAACAGGAGAAACACTCGAACCATTTGAACCACTGGAATCCTTTATACTTGACAGTGCGGTGTTCCTTTCTAATGTTCTCTTTTACACACATTTGGTTAGTTATGAGGAGGGGAGAATGTGTGTACCACAGTGCATGTGCAAAGATCAGAGAAGCCCGTTCTCCCCTTCCACAATATGGATGGCTTCCGGGGACTGAACTCAGATTGTCAGACTTGGTGGCAAGCCCCCCTACCTGCTAGCCCTTATACTAGACCCTCTCTCTCTTTCCCTGCCTCAGCCCCTCTCAGTCGCTGCTGCTTTATGGAGGTATACATGAAAGCTACTTTAGGATGTGGATGTATGAAAGCCAGATTTTCTGCCAGCAGAAACAAAACAGCTTCAGGTTGCCGAGTCAGAATTAAGTGTGCTGACAGACAGTGTTCTGCAGGTGCTCTGCCATTGAGACTATGGTGGCAACTGTGCCTAGACCACTGGGCACTTCCTGGTTAGGTATAGGAAGCATGAGAAGAGCCACGGAGACAACTTCCTAAATTGTGTCTATGTAACCCTACCTAGAGTAAGTTCACCTGAGCTGATGCCATCTCACGCCTCTGCTTACATGACGTCACCTTTAAGCCCACCTTATTTAAAGCTAGGACCCTTTAACTCTGTTCATTCTGCTTCCCTTTTGCCCTCGCGCATATCTTCAATACAGAATAGGATTTTTTTTTTATTACTTTTGCTATGCCTTTCTCAACTAGAATTCATGTCCCATGGCCAAAGATTTGGATTAGTCTTGTCTGGCAGTATACTCTAAGTCCTTATGATAGTGTCTGGTACTCTTCAAGCAAGTTAAAAGCTCCATGTCACCCATACCTAAATGGGTTACTTTGTTAACCAGAGTTGGAGACAATTTTCAACTTAAAAACTCTCCTTTTCCATGAGGAAGAATTTGATTTCTGTGTATCATTATTATAACCAACCATCACACAAATCCAGCAGGGTTGGTTCCTTCCCTCTGTAGTCCTGGAGAGAATATGTGTATGAACCAGAGAGCAAGAAAAGGGGCCAAGGGGCTTTCAAGTGCCTTCAGAAAGCCCAGCCACCCATGAATGGCCCCAGGACAGTGTTGGTGACATGGCTTTAGCGTCCTTCTCTTCCTTGGTTCTCTACAGGTCTGGCTAAGCAGTTACTGGTTCTCAAATATGTTTTCAAGTGAGCAGGGTGCAGAATTGGAAAAGATCCACAATGTAGGCCTGATAAATTCCAAGACGCCCAGCCAAACAGGCCGTTTCCAGGGGCAGCAGGTTACTGTTACTCTCTCCCTTTCCACTGAGGGTGTAAATGTTAGAGAGGCAACTGCTCAGGCCAACAGACCAATGTCTGGTTGCTTTCCAGGGAGTCTGAAGGCATTTCACCTCTATTCCTGCTCAGATCCTTTATCTCCAGAGCTCCAAGGCACACCCCACATGACTGCTCAGCAGAAGCTGGTAGGGACGGCACATTTACCCTCTTCTCATGCAGAAGCAGGGAAAAGCAAGTAAGAGCCCTTGAACTAAACAGTTAGTCCAGAGACCACTCCACGGTGGCAGGGAGTCACCAAGGCAGCCAATGAGGGGGCCTGTGAGCAGGCTAGCTTAGGCCCAGGACACTTGAGGCTCAATTACCTCAAGACTGGTTATTAATCAAATGCTACAGGGATTCCAAAACACAGAGGGAAGAAACAGAGTTCAAAGTCAAAGGTGGGTGGGCCTTTTTTGTTTATTAATATTTATTGTGTGTGTTTAGCTGACCTTTGTAAACTTTGCAGCTAATGTGCCTCCATACTTTGTCCTGTCAAGGAAATGCATCTTATAGCAGAGAGCTGGCCATTTGCCAAACCAAACAATCCCTGAGTCCGGCGGCAGCAAGCAGAGTTGCCACACTGCTAACTTGTCAAACATACATACTGGGCTTTGTGCGTGCAACAACAATGGACACGTGCCTGCTAGGAGCCCAGAACCATCAGAAGACAGATGAGCTATAAATACAAAGAAAGAGAGTGCAATCACTCACTTAGCCAAACAGCCCAAACTCCTTCATCCTGTCTAAGAGACGCCTCTTCAGTTAACATGCCTGGACCTTTGACATGAACTGAACAGTCCTGCAAAGCAAGGGAAGGGACATTCCCAAACCAAGGGACGAGAGACAATCCCAGAAACACCAGACCTATGATACCAAAGAGAAGGAAGGGCTTTACCTCATATTGTACCAGCCACGAGGAGAAGCCACGGCACTGTAAGAGCGAGGCTCGGAATTCAATCTGCATACTAGGTACAGTGACTTGCTTACTTAAACCGAGAGAGCACTTTATTCTTCACTAATCCATTTCACCTTACTGACATACTCGAGTCAACTCATGGCTATGCTCAGTTGTCAAAGCTCAAGTCCGTTCTGGCTCAAGGCTGAGTTTTATTTGTTTTAAACCAAAGCTCACTCAGCATGCAGAGTAAACACAAACTGCCCCGGAAGTACTTAGCTCTAGCAGCCACCACCAAGGGACAGCAAGTAGAAAACATAAGCACGATGGCCAGGGTCAGTTACAATAAATACACACATGGGCTCAACACAGAGATCTTCTGTCCCTGCAGAGACCAAAAGAAAGAGGGGAGATGAAGAGAGCAGTGCCTACTACCAACAGGGTCAAGACTCCAAAGCAGGGTTCTGGAATCACCCCTTAGCAAAAGTGAGGTGGCCACAAAAATTCCAAATAATTACTTCTATGGCTTTCTGGGTTACTTTAAGTGAAACCATGGAAATGAGGAGGGGAGGGAAAGAAAACCAGTGACTGAACATGAATTTTAGGACATGTGGGAAAGGAACTAACTGTAAGGTACCTGGAATTTTATATTATTATTCATTTATTTTTATTATTTACTTGTTTATGTATGGGGGCACATGTGCTATGGCAAAAATAAAGTCAGAGAACAGGTTTTGGAGTTCAGTCTCCTCTTTCCACCGTGTACAGCCGGGGTACTGCACTCAGGCCGCTGGATTTGATGGTTCAAGTGTCTCCCCACTGAGCCATCCCACTGGCACTGGAGGTTTGTATAATCTGATGTGATCCATCTCATAGATGGAAAACTCCAACCAAACAAAGTAAACTGAGACTGGGAGTAAGCAATGCTCCCGGCTTACATAACTTACACACAGAGGGGAGGGAGTGGGCCAGGTATTGCCAACTCTATCATTCATTTCCTTATACTACGGACCATGTGGTAGAGCCTTATACTGAACAGTGAACAAAACTGGGAGGTTTTACATCATTTCCAAACCTTTCTAACTCAGAACTAGAATCTTATCAAGTTGACTTTTCCAAAAAAAAAAAGGGGGGGGGGGCCTGAGACTGTGGCTCAGTGCAAGAATGCTTGCCTAGAACTCAAGTACCTCCCATTTGATCCTCAGCAACGCAAGGAGATGGGGAGCAGATGGTATCACTAAATCCAAAAAAAGAAAAAAGAAAAACCAAGGTTCACAAATGTTGTTATAAAAGAACTCAATGCCTGTGCCACACCCTAGATGTGTGTGATGTGTGTGTGTGTGCAGCCCTGTGTATAAGAAGCCTTAGTGAGCTGCCACCTTGCGTCCCCGAG